CTGTTGTGTAACAAAGGCTATTGCGTGATTTGCAAAAAGGTAAAAAAATTGGTGGCATTTCTGATGGACCTTTTATCTGCCAGTTTGAGCTGCTGTAAATAAGCATACATTTCCTGAGGAACAAAATGGTAAGTTAAAACACATCATTAAGCCACCACTAGAGCCTGGGGGCTCTGCCATTGGAACACAATGGAGCAGTGATTCTCAGCCAGGTTGCTGTGGCACCTTTCAAGGGTGCTGCTTGATGCCATGCAACACTAGCACTCTTAAGCGTGTAAACATAATGTATAAGATAAACCCAGAGATTTCAAATAGGAATCTGTAGCGTTAAAAACTTCCTGACCTCTTGTGATCTGAGTGCTTTTTTTCAGCAGAATTGCTCTATTATTTTTCTGGAGTCAAAAAAGGAGTGAAAACTAAGAGCTGGCATTTTCCTAGGGGTGCATTCAAATACAGTCATACCAACATACAACAAATGTAAGCACATTCTGAATTCTGAGCCCAGTAATGTCTAATGATAGCTATTTCTGGGAAGAATGGGTTGCATGAAAATACTTTAGGCAAGCTAGTGTTGGAGAAACCAGTTTTGCCATATTCATGATAGTAAAGCTGAAGTGAACCTTTCTGAAGTTTAGGGGAAAAGAGCTCTCGTGATCTTTCCAGTCATAATCTTGCTTTGATGAAGGAAGTGGAATTGCCGAAGTATTGCATACAGGGTTTGTTTAAAGTTATTTCCTGCCACCTTGGTATATAGATGACTTAGATGTTATTTAATGATGCACGCGATAGAAATAATATTAAGTCTAGTTAATGCTGGATCTGGAGTTCCATTGAAATTTTATATGAGGGAACAGTCACATTTGCTAAAATTTCTTTTAGAAAACTGCTGTATGCATACTATACACTTCAACTGAAAAATATGCATGTCAAAAACTTTTGATGTGTTGTGTGCAGTAAAATACAACTTATTAATTTTTTTTCCAGTTGCTTCTTTTATTAGCTTCATGGTGATATTCTTGGATTGTTTGGCTGTTCATCAAGAGCAACATGAACACTGGTTTATTTCTGGGATTTGCATAAGCTATTGTTCTAATAATTACCATGTTTCATACTCATTTAATCACTGGAATTCTCTCACCCACTCTCTAACCCATCAAAAGCTCTAATGAAAATATTTAAGCACTTTTCATATCGGTTATAAAAGCAATAACTTTCAAAATGATGTACACAGCTTATTTTTAGCCTCCTCATACAGGGGAAATGATTAATAAAAATAGAACCTCACATAGTTGACATTACACAAACATTTTTGTTGGAATTGGGTAGAAGCTTTTCAAGGCCACACTGACTTTTTAGACACAAACATATTTATGATGTTTTAAAGCAAATCACATGTCATAGAAGTGGCATCATGGTAAGCTTAGTCTCAGGCAGAGATGTGGTCATAATGTATTTGTTACTGAATGGCATAATAGTCATGATTTAGTTTACTGAAATTTGAAATCTCTGCTGTTTGAAGTCCCACTCACCCTTAGCCAGGTGAGATGCTCAGTGAATGCTCTAGAGAGGTCAGCTCAAAGGGGTGGCAGAGAGCGGGGCCATATGCAGCACGGTGATCATTACTACTCTTTCACAACGCAAATCCACACCAGCTCAGCTCTAACTACGCAAATGAAAGTAGCCAAAGGCTAGTAAGAGCTAATGTGGAGGCACAGGTGTCCACAAAATTCCTTTTTGTGAAGGTCTCATACTTGCTGGTTTTGTGGCCAAGCGAGGTGGATGGGGGAAGAGTCAAACCCATGGGAAAGTGAGTTCATGCAGCCTTTACGGTTTCTTTTTCTGTATTAGGAATAAGGATCCATTGTGAGCATGGGTTGGAAATCTCCCCAGATGGGGGTATAAGAATAAAGGATCACTGCGGTCTGAACCTCAGACCCCTGCCAGACATGCAGGTAAAGGTGTGATAGGATCTGATGCACAATCCAAACACTCCTGCCACGTATGTATGGGATCAAGTTTTAGATCCCATCACACCTTATTGCTAGCGCAGGAGGAGCCCAGGATCATGATCCCGGGCTCCCCCTGTACTGGCAAGTAGCAAGCTCCTGCATCTGGGAGCCCTCTCAGCTGAAGGGCCTTCCAGTGGCAGGGGTGCAACATGAGCTTCTATCAGCTGGTCTCGGCTCCCAGGTTTGGGGGCACACCATGTGCTCCTTCAGCTGGGAGCCATGCCATTAATTGCTTTAAGTCCAGCTGTGTTACAGTTTAAGACGTGATTAGCTAGTTAATGACGTCTTAAGTGTAATGCATGGCAGGGGCCTCAGGGTGTGTTTGTGATGCTCTGGGTCTCAGGAATCCGCTGGTTTTTCTCCCCTGTATCCTTCATAGGTATTGCTTCCTCCATGTTGGGAACGCGGTGCCTCTGCAGGGGGAGTGAAACACAGCGTTCCTTAAATAATGTACAGCAACTCCTATAGCATGTCAGGCAGGAAGTGGAGAATACAATTCCTGGTGAGGTTATAATAGAGCAGGAGATTGGATAGCATACAGTAAATCTAATCCCCCATGAAGAATTTGGGCAAGAAAACAGAATTGTGACCTCTGCTCTTCAGAGGTGTTGTGAGATCTTTAATAAGCACATGGGGTTTAGATTTTAGTTTACCTCCTAATCAGGGATGGAATATCTTCTTTAATCTTACAGTGGACATAATCTTGGTAGACATTGCTTGTGTTGCTTCTAAAATAGTAGAGATGTTAATTTACTTTTTCGTTTTGCATGTGTGTGTAATTTGTATGTGTTTTTATAACTAATTCTATACAGATGCACCTAATATATAATGCATACATATATAATATGAGCTGGTGGTACACTTGTAAGTATTTGCCATAAACAATTAGAAAGAAAGAAAAAATGTTATTTTTCTCAGTTTTTTTGGCATATTTTTTGTGATTTTTTTTACTAAACACAAAACAATCCCCCTTCCCAACATTTAAATATTCTTTCCCTTTCTCCCCTTAAAGAAAGGGAGAAATTGCTGGAAATGTTTTGGTTTTGATTTGTGCTGAAACACTTTTTTTTGGCAGAATGTTTCACTGAGGAGAAAAAATAATTTGCATAAAACGAAAAAATAGCAATCATCTTTAACATAAAATTCATATATATTTCAAATACATGCATGTATAACAGCTACATGAAATTGAATTGTTTTAAGTTGAATATATTGGGGAGAGAAATTGCATTTCTACAGAAGATCTTTATAAGTGTTCTTATCTACTGACAAGCTAATAGCACCTTTGGGGAAAAAAAGTAGTAGTAAAATGCTAATTCAAACTAATAACTTGGAGAACAACTGCAAATTACTACATTTTTTGAATTAGTAAATGGATGAGCAGACACATGAGCATGATAAGATAATCAAATGTAGGGGCATGGCACTGCAAAGTGTATGTTCCTCATTTATTTATTCAACAAGTGTAGCTTACTTATAAATAAATAGGTTCCATGCATGTCAGTGAATTTTATGTAGCATATTTTGTAGATGCTTTAGTAAATTGAGGCTCTCACCTGCTTTCCCAGCTATCAAATACCTAAAGATTTAGGAGAGACTACTTATTTTGGGTCCAGAGTTCAGAGTGTGTATATTAGCACTGTGTAAATTGGGGAGGAATGATTGTAAATCTACCCAGCAATCTCTGAATCAGTCCAAATGTTTCAATTTAGTTGAATTAATTTCTGACATTGTTTTCTGGCTCGTTTGCCACCAAGTGATTATATTTTCGTTAGGCGACTAATGAAGGCCTTCATGCTGTTTATCCCTTTCTCTGCTTAATTATCTGTCCAACTTTTCAGGTGATTTCTCAATGGAACATAGCATTCCTTCTGACTTGTTCTTTTCTTTGGGCTCACAAACACAGTTTAGGGTGACAGTTTGTTTTTTGTACAAAGGGATAAATTGTTGACATACAAATGATCCTGATTATTTTAGGCTGGGTCCAACTCCCATTGGGGCATTTACATATGTGGTTTACTGTGGAGTTGACTAACTACCTGAAAAGTAAAGCATCACCATCTACACATGCAACACTATTAGGCTGACGTAAGCTAATTAACTCCACCTTAGCATAGTACTGCCTGACACAAGTACTATTTTACGATGGAGTTATTTACTTCGCCACCGCACACGTGTAGATGGTGACCCAAGCTGGGTGGGGCATGAAAGTGCCTGCACTTGTGCCCCAGCCAGCCCCTCTGCAGCACATTGAGCCAGTGTGGAACAGTGAACTATGGTGGAGTTTATTCAGGTGCACTGATTTCACGTGTAGGTAAGAGACAGATAAGAGAGAATGGGAGATATGGGCTATTTATGAGATTGAAGGCCTGGCTTTCAAAAAAACCTTAAATTTTTTTTTTGCTTCTAGAGAGAGGCAATTCCTGGACTTCTCCAAGTTCCTCTAGGGAAGAGCAAAGAATTCTTTTAATTACTCCTCCCAGGGATTTTAATACCGTTGTTTTTAGATGAATGTAATTCATTTTGAGAAACCATTCTGATATTTAACAGAAAGGAGGGAAAATATTGACATTTTTGTAGAATGCATGAGGTGTTTGTTTCCTTCAGATTATGAGGGCATCCAAAGACCACAGCATTAACAAAATAGCTCAGTGGGACTATGTGGATTCTCTTGCACTGGTAGTTTGTAAGGAAATTCCAAACACCTGTCTACACCTATGGTAGCAACTCATATTGCTCCATATCCACAGTGCTGTATGCCCTCACAGTTATTCATGCGTTTATTTGTACACCTCCATTCTTCTACAAACTGAGGAGGTTTTATCTGAATTGAGATGAGGATTCAAAGCATAGAACAGCTGACTTGCATAAGGTCCCACAAAATGTCTGTGGTCAGCTGGGGAATTAGTCCTGGATCTCTAGACGCCCATGCTAGGACCCTAACAAGGCTTCCTTTTCATAATCTGACTCTAACTCTGTTCGTTCAGCTAGGATTGTGTATTAGCAGAGCTTCAGCATCTGTTCTCAACCTCAACTGCAGTGTGATCCTTTTACCAATGTGCCGTATTCTCCTGGCCTTTCTCCGTGGATCTCAGAAGGTAAGCAACAGCTGGAATCCAGTAGTTACAATGGAGAAGGCACTGTGCACTGCAGACACAAAATATAAGATAAATATTAGAGGTGCACTGATATATCAATTGCATATTGGATCGGCACTGATAAAAGGGAACTTACATTATTGGCTAACAGCTTTTTTTGGCTGTTGTAGCTGATAATGTTATCCAATAAATATAATTAATTATGCCTTCCAGCCAGGGCCCCTGGATGCTTGGGTTCTTTCGGGAAATGGTGGGTTTCCCTTTGCAGGCAGGCAGCATCATAGCCTGCAAGAGGTCCTGCTTGGGGCTACTGGAAGTGACACGCAGGGCGGGGCACATGCATGTGCATGGCTGTATGCATGCACATGGCCAGGAAAACAGCTGGGTAGTGTGAAGAACAGCTCCATGGAGGTAAGTCTGTGGAGGGGAAGAGGTGTGGGGGAAGGAAGAACCATGGGGGTACAGATCAAGTTTCCCATGGTGAGGGAGGGAGTGGGGCAGGGGCAGGGGCTGGGGTTGGGAGCGCTGCCCAGGGTGCTGCATGGGACCTGAGGCTAGGGCAGGAGTGGGACAGATCCACGGGCAGCTTGTCCAAGGGACATGGGGGGCGGGTGGCGCTCTGTGCCACTGCACATACCTCCTGGGGAAGGCATGGGGGGCATGTGCCCCCCAGATTTGTGCGTGGGTACAGGCTGCTAGCTGTGAGCTCGGGGCTGTATGTTTTGCTGCCTTGCCCTCAGGAGTCCCATGCCAGCTGTGCATCTCTTGTCTGCCTGGCAGCAGTGGGGGTGGCGAATTGTGCTGAGTTGCATTGGCATTGGCCGATATGGCTGGTTAATAATTGGCTGTTGGTACTGGCCATGACAATCTTTATTGGTGCACCCCTAATAAATATTAAAAAATTATGATGCAGACTTTATTTGTTATGCATTATCTTGGCTGCTCACAGTGCTGGTTTGCTGGCAGGTACCATAAATGTGCATGGTATAGGCATGCTCCCCTTGAAGTCAGTGACTAGGCAGTTGTGTTGGACCCTGTGTTAGATAAGAAATCTTGCTTTGGTAAGTAAGGTCACAGTTGCATGATGAGAACACTGCTAGAGAAGCATGTAAAAGTGGAGCTTCCTTATTCCCTTTTTTCTGTTCTTGTGCCACAGCTGGGTTTGTTCTCTAAACGTGAGAACTGTTCTCTGCTAGCATAGCACAGACCAAAGTGGCTGGGGGACAGGTTCCACCCCCAAGTTTGCAAAGGGCAAATACACATCATTGCAAATACACTGGTAGTTATGTCTCTCTCCCTCCAAGTATTCTGCAGCTCCTCACTTCCTTCAGCCTGGACAAGTGCCTTCTTGGACATGACTGAATCCCAAACAAAATATTTTAATGGACATCATGTAAAAGGGAAATCTGACAAATTAAGAGGGCTTGGTCTCTGCAAGTTTCCCAGAAACAGTAATTTTAGGGCTTGTGACCCACAAAAACACAAGTAATACTTTTAAAACAGTGCAGTCTCATTGAATGTGCACTTTTTGGATGGTTACAGGTTGAAGAAACCTCTCATCTTCATCCTGTGACTATGGTCTTTGAATCTGACAGTGCACAATAAACAAATACCTTGCTTGTGCTACTGGTCATTTGCAGCTAAGAAGTTATTTCACTTTCAGTGCAGGGATTCATAGATTTTGACTAGAAGGGCCCATTTCCATCATTTAGTCAGACATGCATAGCACAGGCCACAGAACCTCACCAAGTAATTTCTGCCTCCAGAAACTCCTAGCGGAGTTACTTTACTGTCATAATCCTGTTCTTACTGTGTGTCAGTTCCATGATTAAATGTCATTAAACCTAGCACACAAAATAATCTTGTAATTAAGCCACATCTCTGATATCAGTTACTTTTAACATTATTTGCTTTGCTTCATTTTAGAAGACAGATTGCTTGAATTCTTCTTTTACTAGGTTGCTAGCAGGAAAATGAGGCGACTGTTGGATAAAAGCAAAACTTTCCATGTGATGTGTGGGGTTACTATATGCATCTTTTCAGGTAAGATTTTCTCAATGTCTTGAACTCTAGCTCATATGGAAACTGCATAGAGTAATCCTAATTACTTATTTTTATTGTATGGTATGTTTGGGGGTAGTCTTGTTCTGTGTTTGCCTGTGTACAAGTGTAAGTCCTTTCTTAGATGTTTCTAAAATTGCAGGACTCACGTCTTGGTGCGGAGGCTTTTTCTTAACAGGTTACAAGTTCTGAAGGATCAGTTTTGATTGCTTACGTGAAATCAACTTAAAAGCTGCTGTCATAATCAATTTGAGAAAAAAAGTATGAGCAGTTTAAATGAAGATTCACGGATGTTAGAGCTAGAGAAGGCCTGTTAGTCTTTTTGTAATTACCAAATTCAGTGAAGCATGAACACATTTTTGACAAATCCTTTAGATTCAGTCCCCTCTTCCCACCTATCACATGTCAATCAGAGAAAACAAACTGTATATAAAAAGTTTAAAACTTAGCTGTGTTTTCAGGTAAAGGTATTTGTCTATCTCAGGGGTTGTCAACCGAGGGTATGCATACCCCCAGGGGTACTTAGGAAGGCCCTAGGAAGTACACACAGGTAGGCAGGGATGGAAAGCTGCCACACCCCACCCTGCACTGCTGCTTTCCAGGAGCAGGGCTGCGGGGGCGAGGGCAGCAGCGGCCCTCTGTGGGCTGCACAGGCAAGGCTGAGGGTAAGGAAGCTTGCACATGGCCATCCACCACCCTGCGCTGCTGCTGCTTCATGTCCAGCCGTGCATCACTTTCCCCACTCTCCCTCCCACTCCATATCCACCTGCCAGGAGTACACTTATTAAAAAAGGTTGAAAACCCCTGGTCTATCTTACCAACTAAAAAAAGATGCTAGGGGCTGATCTTGTTTCCATTTATTTCAGTCTTAACTAAAATCTGTAGGTAAGTGAATGCAACTTTTCAACTTGTCAAGGAAAGATGATACATAGATAATACTGATATTTACTGATACTGAAAATATTGATATTTATAGATAAAAATCTAGGCATAGAATGGACAAAATCATACTGATGCAGTCATCCCAGTAAGTCTCATAAATCCTCGTTCTGCAAGGTCAATGATATAAAATAAGGAAATCTCTTACAAATATGAGTTTCCAGGACTGTGACATCAATGATGTCACTTTATAAGACCTACAAAATACAGTTTAGTGGTCTGAGTTTTGTTTGGTTTTATAGTTGTACATGTTGCTGCTCACCTGGTGAATGTCCTTAACTTCTCCCAGAACTATACTGAAGATTTTCTGTCACTAAATGCAGCAAACTATCGTGATGAGGTGGGTATCTGCTCTTTTGTATTTTTCTTGAAATAGATGGAATTTGTTTTACATATTACAGTTTCTTTGCATGGTCTGTGCCATGCTGTTTGCTTTGTATACTCTGAAAATGCAATAGCCTGTGATTTTTATCTCTTCCTTTACACCAGAAGTTCCCCAATTTTTTCTTATTGCGTACCCCCTTCCAGTTTTACCAGCTGCCTACGTACCCCTACCAGCACATGTTTTATATTTTACCCCCTTACATGCCAATTATAACGAAAATTAAATCCACCATTGTGCAATTTCTTTTGCCTACACCCCAGAAATGGCTTGTATACCTGCAGGGGTACATGTACCACAGTTTTTGAACCCCTGCTTTAGACTGAGTAAAAGTTATTGCACCTAATGTTTGACAGCTAGCAGCATTGTCCAAGAGTTAGGGTATTGGACAGGGAACCAATAGCTTGATTTATGACTTGGGTAGATTACTTCACCTTGTTGTACTGCCCCCCCCCCCCCCCCCCCCCCCCCCCCCCTCTCTTCCCGCTCCCTTCCCCTGCAGTTGAAAAAAATAATATTTTTCCCCATTCCCTCATCACTCTATGATGGGGTGTGTTGAATGACTTCTTATGCTCTCTTGGGCCTTACCATATCAAAATTGCAATATTGAAAAGACAGTACAATGTGCCACATGTTGTAAGAATTGACAGGACTTGGACCTTAACACAAAAGCTGCTGTTGGCTTGAATGGGAACAGTAGCAGAGACTTTGAATGTGGCATTAGCTGTCTGCATGCATAGGGATGAGAGCTGGCTTTTTGAATGTGAAATGTAGCTTTTCTATTTGATATTTTTTTATGGAAGTCACTGAGTGTAGTGACTCAGGTCATTTGGGAAAACTCAAGTTACCCAACTGGAGGCAAAATCCTCCAGGTTATTTTTACACTTGTCCTATTAAGGCACATGGAACTCCATTTTACTGTGGAGTAGATTAATTAGTTGTGGAGTAAAGCATCACCATCTACATGTGCAATGGTATTAGGCCATAAATGGGAACAATACTATCTTATGCCAGGGTAATTTACTGCGATTAAATGCATGTGTAGACGCTGACAGCAGGTGTAAATTGCACCCATTCAGCCCAACCAGCTGGGGAGCCAGATTCCTGTCTGTCATCTAGCCACATGGCTCCTCACTTTCAGTACCCTGGTGTTCCAGCCAGCCCCTCCAGTGCCTGACACTACTACTTGGAGCCCAGGGCTGACCCTGCCATGTTCCCTGCCAGCCTGGGCCTGCTCCACCCCAGCTCAAATTGGTGCTGTTCCAGGCACACATGTAGATACTATGCCCAAGAGTAGTTTACTCCAGCTCAAACTGCTCCAGAGTTTATTGTTTTGCATTAATTGCATGTGTAGACCCCCCCTCCCCGTATTATTATTAACTATGAGGGTGCATAAATGATACTTACTTATGACGGCCTGCTTGGTATCTGTTTTTTCAGGATCCTCAGAAACTCCTTTTCACTACTGGTATGTCGGTTACTTTCTTTCCAGAATGTTGATGAACTAATTAGTTAATATGGTTTTCACAGTGCAATAAAATCAGAAATATATCCTGCTAGCTAGAACGTTGGCCTAGTAACAACACATTAATCTCAGTTCTGGCATCCAATATGT